AGTTATGAGAGGATAATGTAATACTGTCACGTTTTGAAAAGCATTTTTCACCCCGGATATTTTATAGTTTATAATCTACGTAGGATAAAGTATAATGTTAGTTTTTCACATTTATCGTTCATGTAATAAATAATAAATTAATTTAGATAGTTTGCCTGTTACGAAACTTATTGACATAACATACAGTTAACAGTTTGTGTTCTGTACGTAATTGAAGTATAAAATTACAGTAGATGCATTCCAATGTTCCCTGTGCTAATACCCTAACTTTAAATATCGTTCAACATTTTGGATATTAACTCAATCCTCTTTCTGGTTATTAAATTTATTAGATACGGTTTTTTGTTGTTAATAATAAAAATAATACCTATCTAAAAACTTTATACATTTTTGAACGTTATTTTTTACGTTTTACGTTTTATTTAAATTTACTGAAATTCCGTTATCTATGACGGCAACAACGAATTGATTCATGAACCATTGTGTCCAATCTGAACACAGGTTTACATTGGGAAAAAAAAGTGTACCAGTTTTATATGACGGGAAGTGTACAATTCTTACACCAGTCTTTATGTCATCGGAACTATTCAACCAATAAAACCGTTCTCGACTTCTCTGAAGGATTGTTTACACCGAAATGTCCTCCTGAAGGACTGTCGTGTAACTGGCGAAGGACTTCGGCTATTCTGCTCTTTGGAATCACCAACGGTGTTCTCTTCCCCGAACCATCATCTTAAGTAATTGTTTAAGCAAGTTGTCTTTCTTGATAAAAGAGTCCCACTGGGCCCAATACCTCTTAACTACTGACCATAGGCTTAATATTTTTTGTTAATAAACCGACGGTTTTGTTAGGATAAATGTGACATTAGCCTAAGCTGTAACATATTTGTTTTTAACATGACATTAGACATTAGTTGGACAAATATTTTTAATATTGTCAAAAAACACGGTTATTGTTTGTAAAAACTGATAGATTAAAAATAAATCTATGTAAATAAACTTGTAAACATTTTATAATAAATAAAGTCAATAAATTAGATTTGTAAAAACAGTTCAGTTTTCTTCTTTCCATTTTCGAAGAAAGGCGTTTTCTTTTTGGAGTTTTCTTAGTAGGCGTCCACTCGTCGTTGGCCACCGTTGTTTTTAACACTTCTGCTTTCTTTGATTCTGTTTTGTTGCAGTGAGAACGGTCTGCTAGGCACGACCTTCTAGAAAGGGAATCAGCATTTCTGTGACTCCGGCCCAATGCTCAATCTTGAAATCGTATTCTTGGAGTCGTTCAGTCCATAGATCCCTACCGGAAGGGCGGGCCACCTAAATACCGGTATATATATATATATATATATATATATATATATATATATATATATAATATATATATATATATATATATATATATATATATTTATATAGTAAACTCTTAAATATTGGAGAAATCTGCAAGAAAAACTCTAATGTGTATCAATTGTTTCGCCGAACGTTTTCGCCAAAGAGAATTAATTTGGCTTCTTCAGGGCTGAAAGAGAATAAATTATAATTAGCTACCATATATTATCTAATAAAAAACATTTACCTTACCGTAAATTTTAGAAATGTCGAGTTAAGATGTTAAAAAACTTAGCTAGTAACAACATAGTGGTGTTTTTTTTGTTACTATGTGCAAAAAAGTTTTTTTGTTAACGTTGGAAATGTATGGTAGCTTTGAACTTAAAACGCAAAGGTTTACCCAAGGTTAATCGAAAAACCCAATGTAACTACATTTAAAGAAAGTAATTCTTTGAATTGTCGGCAATAACTAAATTTTTGATTGTTATAAAGTTTGAATGTGAGGTTCTGTTTTATTAGAACGCAAGCGCTGACAATTACAAGTAGTTATTTTGAATATTTATGTCGTTAAGGTTCATTGGTAAAACCGATGAAGTTAGATCCCAGTCTGGGGAGATATTAGTTTAGAATTTTCTTAATTTAAATTCTTTTTTAATTAGTATATTGTTCATGTATTATTATAATATCTTATTGAGATGTATCTAAGAAAAGCAAGGGAATGTTATCTTTTTTAGTTATTGAAAATTATTATTAAAGTAGGTTAGTTGTTAATAGATATATCAGTCAAGTTAGTTATCTGTGATGTTGTATTGTTCTTGGTATCTGATTTAAGTAAGAAGTGGTATATATCGCTTAGATTTTTAATGTCACTCTTAACATTGATGGAAAAATCGTTAAGGAAAATATAAGAAATTTCAATGAACTCTCTTTTAGATTTATTCACATCTATTCACATTATTCACATGTAGTGAACACTACAATTCTCCACCGTGAGAACAATAAATCTAAAAGAGAGTTCATTGAAATGTCTTATATTTTCCTTAACGATTTTTCCATCAATGTTAAGAGTGACATTAAGAATCTAAGCGACATATACCACTTCTTAATTAAATCAGATACCAAGAACAATACAACATCACAGATAACTAACTTGACTGATATATCTATTAACAACTAACCTACTTTAATAATAATTTTCATTAACTAAAAAAAAATATTCCCTTGCTTTTCTTAGATACATCTCAATAAGATATTATTATAATAATACATGAACAATATACTAATTAAAAAAGAATTTCAATTAAGAAAATTTTAAACTAATATCTCCCCAGACTGGGATCTAACTTCATCGGTTTTACCAATGAACCTTAACGACATAAATATTCAAAATAACTACTTGTAATTGTCAGCGCTTGCGTTCTAATAAAACAGAACCTCACATTCAAACTTTATAACAATCAAAAATTTAGTTATTGCCGACAATTCAAAGAATTACTTCCTTTAAATGTAGTTACATTGGGTTTTTCGATTAACCTTGGGTAAACCTTTGCGTTTTAAGTTCAAAGCTACCATACATTTCCAACGTTAACAAAAAAACTTTTTTGCACATAGTAACAAAAAAACACCACTATGTTTTTACTAGCTAAGTTTTTTAACATCTTAACTATACATTTCTAAAATTTACGGTAAGGTAAATGTTTTTTATTAGATAATATATGGTAGCTAATTATAATTTATTCTCTTTCAGCCCTCAAGAAGCCAAATTAATTCTCTTTGGCGAAAACGTTCGGCGAAACAATTGATACACATTAGAGTTTTTCTTGCAGATTTTCCCAATATTTAAGAAGTGCCAGCAATTTCAAAGTAAAGCCAATTATCTGGGTCATATATATATATATATATATATATATATATATATATATATATATATATATATATATATAATATATATATAACCCAGATAATTGGCTTTACTTTGAAATTGCTGGCACTTCTTGGGATTTAAAATCAATTGGGCAGCTTTTACTTCAATTTACTTCAAGCCAATGTATCCAAAGTGTCGTCGATCGGAGGCAGAGAATAATTATCTTTCTTGCTAACATTTGTTCAACAAACGGTAGTCCACGCAGAACCTCGTATTTCCGTCTTTCATTTCCTGAACAATCCTTTCAGGTTCCTCTCTCCTATCCAGTGCTAATTTTCCACCTGTTTGACGAGTTGTCTCAGAATTAACATATCAATTTTACGTTTGACAACGGTAGTTCTTCCCGTCTTTTCTGACGATGTTACGATACTGCCGAAGAAATTCCCTTAATTTCCTTCTTTCTACCTGATTTAGAGACTGGCCAGCAACTTCTATGATGTCGAATTTGCCGTTAAAATTATCGGATGTAGTCGTCTGACGGATTCCATACGTCACAGGTACAAAGGTTTCTACTATTGTCTCTTTTTTGATGGTCACTATGTAGTCGTTGACATTAATAAGTCCTACAGGAATTTCTTAAAGCAGAAGTAACAATTCCTCTCCAATTACGATTCCTCGGTCAACCACCTCGTCATATTTCCAAGGCCCTGCAACCGCACTACTATGATTGTTTCACTTCTCGCAGGCACAACTGTATCTTCTTTAATTGTTTCACTTCTCGCAGGCACAACTGTATCTTCTTTAACGTCTGATTTCACAGTGCTGTTATCATGTGGATGAAGAAATACCTTATGGTTGCCAACTTTGATTACTCTATTCTTAAAATCCAATTAAAACCCATGCAAATTCATTACTTTCATTCCTAATATAACATCCTTTTCGACGTCCGCAACTATGACAGTATAGACGAACTTTTCTGCCCCAGCTCCTAATTGTATCTGAATTTCTCCACGGATGTTGGCATTTTCACCTGTGGCAGCCCGCAGTCGCAACCTCGTTGGTAAAAGATTCTTACGACTGTTTATAATTGTTGGACGTATAAGAGTCCTGGTCGCTCCGGTCTCCACCAACAATATAAGCTTTTTACCATTTATTTCTAAATCTATATATATATATATATATATATATATATATATATATATATATATATATGTTCACATTTCAAAGAAGTTATTAGTATTAGATGATCTTTGGAAAAGTTCCTTGTCGAAAATTTCCCGCTAAGGTCTGAGTGTTCTAGTATTTCCTGCTGACTAATTTCTTGAATTGTGTTGTACTTAGAGTGTTTACTTGAGAGAGTGTTAACTTCGTGCGTGTCCGTTTTCACCACGTCTTCGTTTTCTTGGATGTAATGCCTTTGATCATATTAACAACTTGAGTTTGTCTTCATCTTTTTCCTCCTTTACAGTCCTAACTTTACTGTATGCACATTTGAGTTTACACATTTTTCAAAATACCCAACTTTTAAGAGTATAAGAACATTAACAAAAATGAATAATTAGCAGAAATTAAACTAAATTGTGTTGGCTTTAATATAACTTAGAATCTTATTCTGTAACTTTTTCCAAATCTCATCTGTTTTTATTAAATATATTATTAAGAATACACTACACTTTATAGAATATACCATTTATTTGACAGTTTAGGTGAAGCAGACGAGATAAAGACAGAACAAAATTATCAGAGAGGTAAGCAGTTTTGAGGGAATATTTGTGTTAAAATAATAAATATCAATACATAATTTACTTACCAAGTTCAATATTATTCTTAATATTATCTTTAAAACTAACTAAATTGGCTCTCCATTGTTGAAATTTTTCATTGTCGGGCAAAACATCGTCTAGCCATTTCATATCAGGCAAACCATCTTTCCAGTCATTATATTTCTAAAAGGCCGAAAAGATTTCTATTATAATCTAATGATATGTAATAATATATATATATATATATATATAATATATATATATATATATATATATATATATATATATCGGAAAAAGGAGTACGACCGTCAATCCAATATATATATATATATATATATATATATATATATATATATATATATATATATATATATATATATATATATAAGGATCACTCAGACGAGTGGTGGGTTCTTATATCGGTCTCTAGGTGGAGAAATAAAAGACAAAGTTGATAGGCTACTTTATCTATTTTGAAGACGTTTCGCTTTCGAGTTTTGAAAGCATCATCAGTTCATCTAAAAAAATTTTACAATATGAGAACCACGCAATCATGGAAACGATGTTAATTGTTACCTTAAAAAGATGTGTAGCAGTCAATGTTATTAACAAACATGTGAATCAAACTAAGTAAATGGACATAATACGCTGATCTTGTATAAACAGTTAAGCAACTAACAACATATATGAACTTGTAAAAAATTAGCACAGCAATTGACCATGTGGTCTAAAGTAAATTCAATATTATTTAATGTTAATAAGTGAGTAAGAACCAAGAAAATCATAGAAAACTTCCAACTATTTAATGGATATTAAGCTTTGATTTTAACTTTAGGTAGCATTATAAGTGTTATTAATAAAATTTTAAAAAGTAGTAAAAATGAAGTTACCGATCAAAGCCCTATGAATGTCGCCGAGAAAATGGCGTTTAATGAAACAGGAACGAACTAAACCGCAAAAAGACAGCCAACCTTGAGGTCAAAAATACTTTTGACAGATCAACAAGGTGTAGATACCAACCCAAATTTTGGGCGGTTAATTTAAGTTTAAATGAGTTTGGAAGACTACCCGGTTGCAAAGGACAACACAGTGAAAAAAGTTGGTAGTGTAATAACAACTCCCCTCACTAATCAGCCCAAATTTACAAACAGGAGATTTTCATTCAACCTCATAAGTATGTAATAACGTTAATCATTATGGCTAGTTAAACAGCCACAGGTGGTTAACGATTTGTTAATTTCCAAACAGCCCAAGGTTCAATATACTTGGAACTGCGATTTGCAAAGGATTCTATGAATCAATTACAATATTTGTATTATTTGAGTATAAAATTGGTAGCACTAATTAAAGTAATTAGTGTATTGAAATGCAATGTAGGTTGCATATGTAATAGTAAAATTAAGTAAAGACTATTAAGTTATTTTATTGATATATTTGTTTATTTTATTTCTATTTATGTATATAAATTATTTTATGAAAAATGGAAAAAGGTTCAACTAGTACACCTAATATGACATTAATATAGTGAAAAGATCAAGTAGCCTAATTCTGCAAAATTAAAGCATGATATATTTGGCTCAAGTTACTTATGTCAGTTCTCTTATTCAAAGCATTAGGGTGTTTTAATATTGAACACATTTCCAAAAACTGTCTTTTAGCTAGATTGCGTTCAGTGGCAAGGATCTTAACTTCATTGAAATCCACTTCATGTTTTGTATTTATCGCATGTTGTGCTAGGGCACAAGTGTGTTTCGATAAATTAATGTCGCTACGATGTGAAGTGAGACGACCTTTTAATGATCTACCAGATTGACCAATGTAACATAAATCGCAATTAGCGCATGGAATTTTATAAATTGTGTTCACTTGTTCCAAAGTGGACAAGGGTGTTTTAGTTTTAGAGAACAAATTTCTAACAGTTTTGGCATTCTTAACAGCAATTTTAAGCAAATATATATATATATATATATATATATATATTATATATATATATATATATATATATACAGTATTGGAAGATTCAAAACGGAACATACGAATTATTAATACAATTATTAAGATCCCCTGACCTGCAATTACCCAGTGTAAATTTCAATATAACGTCGCGATGTCTTATAATTAATTCATTTGTTCGACTGGACTCCTTCTCCAGTCCAATACCATTTTAAAATTTGTACTTTTTCTTTGTTTGTATACATGGTTTATGGTTAGAAACACTACTTTTATTTCAGCTTATGGCGTTATAATGAGAAGCAAAGCAAAGGACATGTATTTGTTTTGCTCGGCCAGTGATGTTCCTTGGGACTGTTGCCAAATCGATAGATACCTTCGGCAAAAATCTGTAGACTTTGATGTATCATATACATCCTTTTAAATTTTAAATTATCAATAATATTTAGAATAATAAATATATTAAACTATACACTAACCAATTCAAATAATATCTAATGAACACAAAAAAATTGTTATTAATAAAATATTGTTATTATCTGCACAAAAACACAGAAAATCAGTGGACGATAGACAACAGTGTCGACGTACACCTGTCGAATACGCTACTAGAAATCGCCAAGGAGTAGCAATCCAGTCGAACAAATGAATTAATTATAAGACATCGCGACGTTATATTGAAATTTACACTGGGTAATTGCAGGTCAGGGGATCTTAATAATTGTATTAATAATTCGTATGTTCCGTTTTGAATCTTCCAATACTGTATAAGAAAAACGTTAATTAGAAAAATAAAGGTAGAGGTATCGGCATAGCTCGCAACAAAGGAAAAAAATATATATAAAAAAATTTGTGTATAAGATGATGATGGAAGACAACCGTATATACGTACTCCTGACTATTTGTTGTCTTCAGTACGGTGCTGCTAGGTTAGAAAAGGAGCTTGTTAACTTGGGAAAGGATCAGTACAGAAGCAATGCGACCAATTTGTGGCAATATTGTTAAAAGACTCTGAGGTTTCCAGGGCAACAGCTAACACATCTACGGAAGAAGCTAAGCTATCTTATGAAAGGAATGCCACACGTTTAGAACTTTTCAAATAAAAAGAAAAAGGTTAATGCGAGTTAATAGTAAAATAAAGGTACAAGGTATCGGCATAGCTCGAAATAAAGGAAAATATATATATATATATATATATATAATATATATATATATATATATATATATATATATACATATAATAAAATATGTGTATAAAATGAAAGGCAAGCGTATATACGTATTTCTGACTATTGGTTGGCTTCAGTACGGTGCAGTCAAGTTAGAAAAGGAGTATATTAACTTGGGAAAGGATCACTACATAAGCAATTGCGACCAATTTGTGGTAACAATGTTAGAAGACTCAGAGGTTTCCAGAGCAACAACTAAAACCTAACACTAACTATCCAGGAGGAAGCTAAGCTACGTGAGGAAAGAAATGCCAAACATTTAGAACGTCTTAAACAACAAGAAAGATCTAGCTCTAGGTCAACACCATCTTCATACATGTCACAAAATTGATCTTGAAAACTCTAGAACCATAGCCCCCATCCGCTTTTATAAACAAAGAATTATCCGAGAAGCCATAGAAATTAAAAAAAGACCAAAGTGTCTCAATAAAAGTGATGGAGGCATACGGCTACCTTCGACATGGAGACCTCTCATAAAGAAAATATCGTCCGCTTCACCCGCCAATAAAAATCCTACTGTCAGAAATGTTTGCGCTAACCGCACACCAATTCCCACGCTAACACCCACGCCATCCTCCACCTAACACACGTCACCATCGACGGTATAAATGTACTAATATTCCACAAAATAATAATTTTAATTAAATATATTATACGCAACTGATACGGAAATACTTTAAATTATCTTGACAGTTCAGCGGGTGGCAAAAGTATTAAGTATTTTTTTAGAGTAGGAATTTTGTTTATGTTTTATTTCTTACACAATTTGATCATAATATAATATATATTAATAAATTGTATTTATAAATGCATATTAAACTTAGATTAATAGCTTTAAAACTAATTATTGTTGTGTATTGTGAATTGTGATTGTGATATGCCAAAACAAATAAATAGTCTGTAGAAAGCTGATAAGCTTTCATATAACATAGATTATTTTGAACAAGAAATATTGTCGGGACGTTGTTACTATTAAAGCCCTAAAAGAGGTAAGTTTAAAACTTGGAATATATAATTTTGTATTAAAATGTTTTCCTATGTATTTTAATGTGTTGCGATAGTCTTAAAACTAAGTGTATTTACTGTTAATATAATACGTTGACAAATAGTTGACATTTTAAAAATTCCTCACTTACTAACTATTCTGATGTTTTGTCAACGCTGTGTGGTTCTGACTACGTAAATCTTGAATGACGGGCAAGCTTTTTATATGAAAAATGCTATACAGATTGAACGAATTTAAAACGGATCATACAATTTAATATGTCTGTATGAACTGCATTTGAAATAGTGGACCAATATAAAACTTGGACAAAAATAAATCCATACCCGGTGTTTGACATTGTATAAAATATCGTTCAACTATCCTTATCTTTTTAGAACCCACCATAGTCTAGAGCGCAGCTCAAAGTAAATGTTGCCAATCGCCGTGTAATAATCCGATTTGCGGATCTTTTTGAGAGTTACATCTTCTTCGTATCTTTAAATAACTCGGATATTTGCCTATAGTTTTCATTGTATTTACCAATCTACTACACCAGACTAATAACAAAAATAAACTTAATGGTTTGTAGTTATTTCAGAAGTTTGTAGTTATTTTAGAAACATCTAGTGGAATGATATTGGTAACACCGCTCAAAATCTCCATCTCCGATAAACGAAAGGCTTGCCTAAAGGCGGCCACTCACGATACAGCGGCGTTGTTCAACTGCGGTTTTAACTACACACTTGCTTTGATCATATTATAGAAAATCGAAATGGCTTGATTTAGCAAGAATTTTTAAGAGTTTTTTTTTTAATTATATAAAAACAAGAATGCTTATAGCGAATAAAAGGTTAAACGTATCACGGTAGAAACGTCCGAAAACAGACAATGGATATTCTAGTTTTAAAGTTCCAAGAAGTAAACAAAGATGCGAATGAAGAGTATGTAAGAAAAAAAATTAACAATTTTAGAACATTCTATAAAAGAGAAATAAAATTAGCAGTGCAATCCAGTAAATC